AATTTAAAAAAGGTTATTCTTTAACTTAAAACATAATTTATATTTTAAATATATATATATGGTAAATATGAAAGCCTTGTACTTTACAATTTATAATATATATTTAAAAAATCGTTATTTTGATAAGTGACTTATGGCCAGAGTTGTTAAAGTAGCGCGCTAATTGTAGCGCTCTAATTAGCGCGCCATCTTTTTTGGTAGCTACAGCTAATAGCGGCTACTTTTTTTGTAAATATTTAATTTTTTAGCACGCTACTTTTAAAAAATATAATGAGTGTAAGTATAAGCACGAAAATTTAAATATAATACCATAATTAATTATAATTTTAATGATTTATTATTTAATTTTGAAATTGAAATATATTTTCAATTTGTGTTATAAACCTAAAACCTGTTAATAATTTAAAATGGCATCGCATATGGATATCCAAATCGTTGAAAGTGATGCAGAGTCAGACAATGATGTTAATATTTCAAAATGGAAAATACCAGGGAAGAAAATGATATTCATGGCAATACATTCCCATTCCCTAGATTTCAAAAGTTTTTCAAAATAAATATTAAAACAAAAACTGGTTTCAAATTTATATGTTTATGTAAAAAAAATATTTGGTCAAATCAATCAGGTAGCTATAACCTAAAGAAACACCTAAAGGTAAATTATCATTTTTACATAAAATAATAATATTTATTTTATTAGACTGTTCATGCTAATGGTTTTAAGGAAATTCAACATTTAAATAACTTTATCACAGGTGAATCTACATCCAAAAAGTCAATTCAGACTAAATTAATTAATACAAATGCCCATATCCCTCAGAAATTAGCTGATACAGTTATTGTGGATTTTATCTGATACAGTGCAGCCAATGTCTTTGGTAGATAATCCAGCATTTACTATGATGATTAAAACCTTATCACCTGGTACAACTATTTTATGTCGCCAGTCACTTGTATATAAAATAGCTGATAAGTTTAAAGTGATGAAAGATGCTTTAATAGTAGAATTATCAGAGTTATCTCATATATGTACCAGGGCAGATAGTTGGACACATAACAGAAGGTAAACACTTATTTATAATTATAAATTAATCTGATTAAATATTTTTAGAGCTTATTTGGGAATCACAGGCCATTGGCTAGACCATAGGACTTTAAAAAGAAATTCTGTAGCATTTGCCCTCAAAAGGACAATAGGATGCCAGACATACGATGTACTTGCAAATAAAATTATTGAAGTCCACAAGTCTTTTAGGATTCATAGTAAAGTTTGCAAGATGGTGACCTATAATAGGTCCAATTACCTGAAGGCCTTCAGGTTATATTATAAATTTTTAACATTTATTTTAAGTTATTATTTTGATTAGACTTTTACTATATTTATTTCTTATTAATTAATATCCATCAATTTATATACAGTACAGGGAATTCAATGTATTCATTTGATAAAATATTTTTACTTAGTTACATCATAATTCCTGAGGTTCAAAATTTAGAATGGCTACCAAATGATTTTACCACTCCATTTTTGATAAATATTACTACACATTTATATTAAAAACTGGATGAATAATTTATTTTATTTAATATGAATATAGAATATTTGGTGAGAATAATGCTGAAGGTGAGATATAGAATCTTAGTCAACATGTATTGGAAGAGGAGGAAATGGGTGTTGATGCAGTTGATATTAATGAGATCTTAGAAGAAGGTTTAAATTATTTTATAATACATGTTAATCTTATTCTATAGCATCTTCAAAGAGATGCTCTTGCCATAATCTTATAGCAACAGTGGATGCTGAAGGAGCCCTAAATAATGAAGATTTTAAAAGGGTTTCAAGATCCACTTTCCATAAATGTCAAACTTTATGGAATAAGCAGAACAAGTCTGCTAAAGGCTCAGACTTATTTTTAAAAAAATTAGGCAGATACTTAATAACTCCTAAGCATACAAGATGGAACTCTGTATACCAGGCAATAAAATTAATAGCATTTTTTCTGGAGGAAAAAAAATTAGAAATGAATTTCCTATGTGATCATGTTGGAATCCAATATATTAATGATGAAGAGCATACTTTTATAAAAGTGTATACAGAAGTAATTTTAATTAATAATGATTCAATTTCATATCATTTTAATTTTTTAGGTTATGCAATATGTGGCTGTTTCCCTTGAAATTTTGGAAGGTGTGGATAATATGGAAATGGGGTATTATGTTCCACATTAAGTATCCTAACCACCAAACTAAAGAGATTAGCCTCTAGTATACTCCATGTTAAAAGACATTGAGAGAAGGTAAATAAAATTTATATTGTTTTGATTTTGACTGAATAATTTATGTTTTAAGCTAAAAAATTTATAAAATGTTATGATTAAGATATATTTTAAATACTCTATTTTTGCAACTTTTAGATTCCCCAACCTTTACAGTGATGATAATGTCTTGGCAGCAATGATTCATCCAAAGTTTAAACTTAACTGGCCATACATCAATTCCCATGATGCTATAAATCAACGTGATAGGCTCATGGCTAGGCTCAATAGTCTGAACCCAAACAAAGATGGCCCTATTACAACATCGAAGACATCCGACAATAATTTTTTTGAAATAGAAGAGCGTATAATAGAAAATCCACACGACTCCTTTTTTTAAGTCAAAAAATATTGAAATGAGTATTTTTGATAATCTTTCTTATGTTAAAAAATGTATATAAGATTAAATACTGCCTTGAAGTGCTAGTGTCGAGAGATTATTTAGTAAAGCAAAACTGATACTTTCTGATCGTTGCTCTAAACTTGGGGATGATAATATTGAAATGATTTTATTATTAAAATTCAACAAATTACCATAAATATTTAAAATAATCAAAATTAACCATATTTTAATATTTATAAATGTTGATTTTTATATATTATTTACTATACAATTACATTATATGCAAAATAAAAAAAAATTGTTTTTAAATTTTTTTATAAAAAGTAGCCTAAAAGTAGCTAAAGCTACTTTTTAAAAATAGTAGCTAATAGCGAGCTACTTTTTTGACAAATAGCGGTAGCGCGCTAATTTTTTTGACAAATAGCGATAGCAGTAGCGCGCTACTTTTAAAAGTAGCGATTAACAACTCTGCTTGTGGCCCAATCGGCAAGAGCGTTGCTTACAAATCTAATTGACTTAGGTTCGAATCCCATCAAAGATTTTTTTTTTCTCAATCTGGCAAAATATTTTGTTCTTTCTTAATCTGGTAAAATTAATCAAATAGATACGATTCAAAGTTTGTAGCTACTTTAAAATTCAAACTATTAAATAGGTATTCTTATATTTTTAATATTCTTTTAAAAAATATTCGTCCAATAACAATCACCTTAAAATCATATCTTATCAAACATTCATTCATCTTCCATTACCATAAAACCAATACCATCTTATACATCATCATATATATACTGGAACTAACTGAAATATCTATAATATATAGTGTTGTAAACGAACGCGTTCGTGAACGAAGTTCGTTTTTTTGAAAAAAGGTGATGAACGGCGTTCCTTTTTTTGACGAACTTTGAACGTGAACGCGTTCCTTTTCTTTGATGAACGCGTTCAATTTTACGTTGGTTCAATTTTAAAAACACTTTTTATTTTTATTTATTTGAAAAATTAATATTAATCCGTATTTTTTAACAAAAAAGTCTTATATTTTTATTTATTTGAAAAATTAATATTTAATCCAATTTTTTAACAAAAAAGTCTTATATTTTTTAATCAGCTGTTTTTATTTTTTCCTCTTTCATATTGCAATTAACGTACCATAACGTGCTACTGCTAGATAAGATTAAAGTTTATTAATTTGAATATTTTATATTTTAATTTAATAGATTAGCATTTGCATGGATATAAATATTTCATCATCAGATTCTGAAAATCAAAATTCAATATTAGATGAATTAGAATTACCATGGCCCAAATATCAAAAATATTTCACTGTTTTAAAATCAAAAGGTAAGTCAATAGTTACCAAATGTAAAATGTGTCCAAAAAGTATTATATCAGTGTCAACATCTTCAAGCTCCAATTTAAAAAGACATCTGATTGTAACATTAATTATTTTATATTATATAATATGTATAACTATATAGCCAGTTAATAATTTATTTTAATTGTTCTAAGTAAAAATAATTACATAATATATATATATATAGTTAATTATAATAATAAAGCATTTTAATATTAGTATTTAAGAAAAAAATTTTATAAACAAAAATGAACAATTTTCAAATTATATTACTAGTAAATTTGAATCTAGGAAAATAATTCCCCGGAAAAAAAATCCCGTGACCCGGATCTGTTCTGCAGTATTTAATTAAATAGAAATGTTTTTTAAAGTCAAATTTCTTCGAGGATTTAAGATTTTAAATAATAAAACGAAAGTTAAATAAATCTAGTTCACCTTTACACTCTTTCATCAACTTTTAGGTATTTATTGAAAAATTATTTTTACACAAATTTTAATCATTTTTTTAGAAATATGATAAAAGGCTTTTCACAGTTTACTAACTCTTAAATAGCGCCCCTTTTTGTTTTTACAAGGATAAGCTATTAAATAATATAATTTTATAAATTTTGTGGCGAAATAGGAAATTAGCAATTCAATCTGATACCCTCTATTTGATAAAAATTATTTTACTGAAGTATTTACCTACTTTAAGAATTTAACTGACTGAATACAAAATCACTATAAAACTTGCAAAATTATATTTTTTACTGCCCAATTTTAATTAAATACTGCCAAAAGTAATGAAAAATGCTGACCACTTTAATCAAAATACATCCAGAGGTGATTATCAGCAGTGAGTATTATATTTTTCTAATCTAACAATTATTATTTTGCTTATGAATTTTTTTCAAAAGTTACAGAAAAGAAATAATTATAATTTTATTAAATGATATATAGAATAATAAATTATATTATTCAAAAGAAACAATTCTAGAACGTATATGTTCTCCAATTGAAGAGAGAAAATTGGGCAAGTCCCTTCTCTCTTCTAAATAATCAAGGCATAAATTTTTTTAAATAGTTTGTTTCGGTGCATAAATACGATTTTTTTGGGAGTGTATGTCCCAATATTCCATTGGCCGATTTTTCCCATATCAACCGCTATTTCCATCCTTATTTTTTCGAGTAGTTCCCATATCTTCGGTTTTTTGTTGCCTACAATATGCTTAAATCGATTATTCCATCCTTCACATACATTGTTTGTTCGATTTTCCCCAGCAATCGTAACATTGAACACATTCCATGTTTCTGGTGGGAACAATGGCTCTAACTTGCCTTTGAGAGTTTTTCCATGTCTCAATTCTCTATTCACATAATTTTTATCAAAATAAAACAATAATTATTTGTTTTCATCCGATACAATGGTTTTTAAATACTCCATACCTCGTTTGACATCGTGTATAGGTAAGAATGCTAATCCATCGATCATAGCTGCAAATAAGCATACCATTGGATCAGTCCGATATGATGATTCTAACCCCAATTCCTGGATCTTTCTATGAGTTGATTGAGTTAGATGATAAAAACATCCTTGGACATTGATATCTCTACCTAAAAGTTGAAAAAATATAGATTAAAATTATTGTATAGGTTTTATTTAATATTTATTGTCTTTATCAATTTTTATTAATTACACTGTGTGACAAGAAAAATGGGAGAAAAAATAAATAAAAACAAGTTTTGGTGCAGAATTTGACATTGAGTTCGAATTCGTTTTCTAAGTTTTCCCTTCACGTCAAGTTTTAAAAATATTAACGTATAAAGGCAACTTTTCGAAATCTCAAAAATGGTAAAATTTAGGTCTTTATACGGATATATTTTAAAATGAAAATCCCTGAAAATTGGTGATAGTGTTAGACTTATATTTCCTTATAAATTTATTAATTTTTATAATTTTTTATCGATTGCTTTTTGAGAAAAATGGTAAAGAATTTCGTTTTGGGGGTCTTAAGTTTTCAATTTAAATTCCAGGCAAGAATCGTATAAATATGTTGGCGGACTACTGCTGGAGTATCTTTTTTGAAAATAAATCATCAACTTCATATTCGCTGAAATATATTTAGATTTACCATTAAATGTTTTTAAATTCGATAAATTTTATGTTATTGTTTAATTTGTTTTAAATTCAATAAATTTATTGTATATTACAAGTTAAATCCTATATAATAATGAAGGAGGGGGTGAGACAACGGACCGATAAAAGGTTTATTAAAAGTAAAATATGAGATAGGTTAGCTTAGCATAGTATATTTATTTAAATATGAGAAATGTAACTATTTCATTTAAAATAAATTGTTTGGGAATCGTACCTTGTGCAGTGTAGCGAAGAGAACGAAAGCCACAATAAATATATTAAATGTAAGCTATATTAAAAAAGAATCTAGAAAAATAATTCCCCGGAAAAAAAATCTCCGTTTTTAAGATAATAAGTAGATAAAGGAAATAACCTTTCTCTTTCTCAGTAAAAATTTGCTTTCACATTTTTCTTTTCAATTCTAAATTACCTCTTTCATAATTTTCATATATTTCTACGGGAATTTTTTTCCGGGTAATTATTTTCCAAGGATTTTTTTCCGGGGAATTATTTTCGGTGATTTTTTTCCGGGGAATTATTTTCCGCTTACCAGTAAATTTGATCAATCGAATATTTAGTAAGAGGTCGGTTTTGAGCTCGGCAATCAGTCAAATCAAATTATTTTCAAAATTTTTTTAGGATAATGCATAGCACGTAAATATACACGTATAAACAAAAATTAAGAGATTTTGATTTATAACGCCAGCAATTCAGTATTTAGTCATTGGGTGAGCTAAGTAGGTTATCCGCCAAACCACGATATTTTAAAAATATTTTTTAGGATTATGTTTTATACGTATTTATAGATATATAAATATTTTTCAAATTATATTACTAGTAAATTTGTTCAATCGAATATTTAGTGAGTGGTCGGTTTTGAGCTCGGAAATCGGTCAAATCAAATTATTTTCAAAAAAATTTTTACATAATGCTTAGCACGTAAATATACACGTATAAAACAAAAATGACGAGATTTTGATAAATAACGCCAGCAATATTTACTTTAGAAAATTTCCATTGTTTTACTATTCTAAACCTACTCATAAATTAAACATCAAAGAAACGTAAAAAAATTTTTTAATTTTTAGGTTTTTCATATGATGTATATATACCCAAATATATAAAAAGTGCTATCCAATAATCATTCCGGTTTCCTAAAATGATACATATTAAAACATATAATGCCCTCTTACGGATATATATTGTTAATTTTTAAAATTGAATAAAATGTACTTTTGTTTTAATAAGCTAGAAAAATATATTTCTTACTAATAATATTAAATAAAAATAAAAATATACTATATGATTTTTTATTATATTCTTCATTTATAATAAAAAAATGATTTAAGTATATTTTAAAAAAAGTTTAAAAAATTATCATTAATAAAATATACATAATAAAATTTTGATTTATTTATGATTGATTGCTATTTAGCAAAGCAGTTTAGCATAGCAATTCAATATATAGTGGGGAAATTATTTTCGGGGAATTATTTTCCAGGGGAATTTTATTCCGGGGATTTTTTTTCCGGAGAATTATTTACCTGGGAATTATTTTCTGGGGAATTTTTTTCCGGGGAATTATTTTCCGGGGAATTATTTCCGCTTACCTTAATATTGGTCTCTGATAATTTATATAGCCTAAATTTTGCACTCATAATCCCAAGGCATCTTTCAACAGACACTCTTGCTGTGGATAATTTTCTAATAAAATTATATTTATATTCATTTAAATTTGTTTTATAGGGTTTCATTATAAAATTCATTAATGGATAAGCATCATCTCCCACAAATACATATGGTGATAATATATTTGATGAAGGTAAAAAATTTGGATTAGGTATCTTGATGATTTTATTGATTATTCCTTCATAAAATTGGCTCTTTGTAAAGATGCTTCTATCTGAGAGACCCAGGAAAACCAACTTCAATTAACAAAAATCTAGAAAAGAATTAAAATTTAGAATAAATATAAATACCTAGCTTTGTCATCTGAAACACCTTGAATCACAATGGAATTAAATTTTTTATAATTAAAATATGTGGATCCACTATTTTTAGGTTGTTTTATTTTTACATGCTTTCCATCAATAGCACCTATTGATTTCCTAAAGTATTCTGCTGATATTTCAAGCATCTGTTCAACTGTTGGTAAACACAGATGCTTGGGTTGAAGACCTACCCATATTAACCTACATGTTGATGTGACAATAGTGCTCACTGATGATTTGCTAATCTTTGCATATAATGCTATTTTTCTAAAGCTCATACCAGTAGTCAAATATCTATAAATGCATTCAGATTATTTATATAAAAAAATAATCATCATACATGAATGTTAGAGCCTATGCTTCATACTGATAGAGTTTTTAAATTTAACTATAGTGGTGTCTATAGACTCCAAATTTATAAGTATGTAATTGAATGTTTCCACATGCATGTGGAACATCTGACAAAATTTGTCAGGATAAGAAGGAATACTATCAAATATTTTAAATAGTCCTTTATCTCTATAATTAATATATAATATCATATATATATACCGGTCATCTAAAAATCTATGCCTTTTTCTAAGTTTAGGAGTATCCTCAAATAATATAAAATATAGAAGTAGTAAATCATGCACATCAAACATTTTTTATATTTTATAGAAAATAAATGTATGATTGGACACGTTTCGTAATCTCTCAAAATTCACGAAAGTTGTGCATTTTGGAAACTTTTTTTTTAGCTTTGGACACGGCCTCAAAAAAAATTCAAAAAACTTATAAAATGACGATTATGACAATTTTTACTTTTCTATGGTACATCTTCACTAAATTTTTATTTAAACATGTTTTCAATACTTATTTTAACAAATTTTCGTCAAAAAAATTCAAAAAACTTTAAAAATAACGATTATGACAATTGTCAATTTTCATAGTACATTTTCACTAAATTTTATTTAAACATGTTATCAATACTTATTTTAACATACTTTTTTCAAAAAAATTCAAAAATAACGATTATGACAATTGTCACTTTTCTATGGTACATCTTCATTAAATTTTTATTTAAACATTTTATTAATTCTTATTTTAACAATTTTCGTCAAAAAAATTTAAAAAACTTATAAAATAACGATTATGAAAATTGTCAATTTTTTATGGTACATCTTCACTAAATTTTTATTTTAACATGTTATTAATACTTATTTTAACATATTGTCGTCAAAAAAATTCAAAAAACTTTAAAAATAACGATTATGACAATTGTCACTTTTCATTGGTACATTAAATTTATATTAACACATGTTATTAATAGGTTAATGATGTTTACTACGAAGTGAATATGGAAATATTCTAAATACCAACCTAATTTGCTAAATACCGACCAAAATTTATTAAAATGTAATAAGACCTTTATTATTTAATATATTAATACGGAATCACGTGGTCAAGTCCGGCCTCCTATATATTATCCCCCCCCCCCATGGATGGAACCACCAAGTTAGAATAAGAAAAAAAACATGACCATTCCCAAGATTCGAACCTGGGACCATATGGCCTCCTATATATTATCCCCCCAAGGATGGAACCACCAAGTTAGAATAAGAAAAAAAACATGACCATTCCCAAGATTCGAGCCTGGGACCATATGATAAGTAAAAGATTTCACCTAAAATATTGTTTATTTATCTAATAAAATTTACAATATAATTCCTCAATAAAAGATGTATTTACAAAGAAGATTGAAAAACACTAATAAATTATATTAAAAAGAATATTACATTTTTACAATATGTTTTTATTAAAAAAACATTAAATAAATAAATTTATTTTTATTTCAAAATATAATAATATAAATAAAAAATATTAAATCATATCATGTTTATTTGTTAATAATAATAAAATATTTACATTAAATATAAATATAATAAATTATTTTACTAAAATAAATAAATTAATGCTAAGCATTGATGCAGAATTTTGACTAATTTAATTTTAGCCGATTTATAGGCTTTAGCTAGACGATTTTTAGGCTAGCCGAATTTAGGCTTTACCTAATTAGGCTTAGCCGATTTTTAGGTTAAGCCTATTTTTAAGCTTTACCTAATTAGGCTTAGCCAATTTTCTCACCTAAAATTTTGGCTAAGCCGTTTTGTAGTTGGCTAAAATTAGCCGATTATGCAACACTAAATACCACCACAGTGTTTGTTAGATAATCAGGTTTGCTCACATAATTGACTCGAATATATTATGGCAGGTCTTTTTTTAGAGTATTTAGGAAGGTTTTAACAGCATTTAAATGATTATTTGAGAAGAATGTAGATTTTATGCTAAGTGATGGATTCCAATTGATTATTTTATTTACTCATTAGAAAGTTGGGGTTAAAGAATTACATAACTTTCAATACCTAAAAGTAATGTTAAATGGCTTAATAAGTCAGCTTAATATGGTGAGAGTCAAGTTTTTGTTTAACATGTTAAAAAATAATGTTTTAATTTCAAGTATTGCATATCCACAAATCTATTAAAAAGGGAGATGCCTGCATAATCAGAATTATATTTATTTCTTTATTTCTAAAGCCACAATCTTATGAAAGATTTTAGTAACAAGTTGCCAAATGAATTTTTGGATAAATAAAAATCAAATGTAGGAATAATGTATATAAAGCTAATTTAACAATTGACTTAAATAATTTGTTTATCTTTACAAAATTGATTCATAATAAAATCTTCTAAACAAACCATTTCTTCATGACTTTTATCATCAGTATGATTAAACCCAATTAAATGGCATATTCCATGTATAACTAATATCTTTAAAAAAAAATAAAAATCACAATAAATTAATAGTACCTGAATTTCTTTGTTAAAATTTGACTTTGCTCTTTCTTGAATATAAGGCAAAGCTAAAAATATATCGCCCAAACACTCATCATTGTTAACTATAGGATAATTTACCAGGTTCTGTAATCCAAATATATACCAAAATATAAAACAAATTATCAAAATACTTCTAGTTGTGGAAAAGATATTACATCAGTGATTCTGTCATCATTTCTATAAGTTTTGTTTAAATATTTAATATAATCATTATCAACGCATAAAACAGCTAAGTTTAAATGTGAAACTCCAATAATTTTTCGTATTTTATTTATATCATAGCTTATATCTTTTAAATTAATTTGAACTATCTTTTGTAAATTTTTGAGAAGTAGGGTCATGAGTTTCAGTGGCAGAAGCTACGCGCCCCCATTTGGGGATAAATATAAAATTATATTTAAGCTGCGTGGCAGGTAGGTATCGTCGTATCGTGCCGCATGATATACTTTTTTTGGTTAGGGTACCTTTTCAGGGGCAATTATTTTTTTATGTTATTTTTTGTTATTTTTTTATGCGATTTTTTGTTATTTTTTTATGAGATTTTTTTATGTAATTTTTTTATGAAAACTATTGTTTTTATGTTATTTTTTTATGATTGGTTCATTTTCTTATTGGTTTTTTATTTAAGATATTTTTAAATTAATATATCTTTTTTTATTTAAGATATTTTAAAATAATTTTTTCTAAAATTTAAAATTCGTACAATTATTTATAGGAAGTGATGGGGGCAAATAAGGGGGAAGGCTAGGGGTAAGGGGTAAAATTATTAGATTATGTACAATGCGGGTAGGTTTGGGGTTAAATTTTTGATAGATGAAACTTCGCTATTTAAAATTTATTTGGTTGATTCTTTCTATACAAACTTAATATGATTCTAAACAAACTTAATACGATTCCTTCTATACAAACTTAATATGATTCCCTCTATACAAACTTAATATGATTCCTTCTATACAAACTTAATATGATTCCTTCTATATAAACTTAATATGATTCCTTCTATACAAACTTAATATGATTCCTTCTATACAAACTTAATATGAATAATTTTTTCTAAAATTTGTATAAAGAATTTAATTTTTTTTTAGTGATAACACTATAATTAAAGGAAGATTCCAAAAATAAATAAAATTTAAGCATAACAATCGAAATAATTTATTCATTAAATTGAAATATACTATTAAAATTAATACAATCATTAATAAAATGAATAAAAACATCAAAACGATTTAATACTCTATATTTTCGAAAATATCTATATTCAAGAAGATATTCATGAATATTATCCCGATCCCCATGTCTTTTATAATTTGCCTTTAGATCCCGCCACAGCCTCTCGACTTTTTGAGTGTGGATCGATCTGTCATTTGGGTCAACAAAATTTTACGAATGGTTGATCCGATAGTGGAAATAGTTTGAACACTCTAGCCGATTATATCTAAGATAAATATATTTACATTTATCACCACTTTTGCTTTATTGAAAAAATAAATTAACATACCCTAACCACGAGTCAGTCATTATCGTGGAATTAAATGGATAGTTAAAAATTGAAAAGTTAACAAAAAAAGTATATCATATTAAAATTTTTTAATTACTTCTAGTGCTGTAAACGTTACTATAAAAAAGAAACGCGTTACAGTTACTCGTTACATCTAAAAAAGGTAACCCGTTACGGTTTCCTTAAAAAGAAACGCGCATTGAACGACTTGTCTTTATCTGAAAATCTTTGTAATTCAGATATGTCATAAGAGTCGTCATATGCAATTATCCTTAATATGACTATCTATTAATTTCCTTCTTTCCTATGTAAAAAAAACCTACAAACACAAACTAAAACCTATCTAAAATCTACCCCAACCAAATCCTAGAAACTTAATCAAACTTTCTAAAAAAACGAATCGTCAAGACTTATATGAAATTATCAAATCCAAATAAAACTACAATATAAATCCAAAAATTTTATTCAAAAGAAAATTCATTTCTCAAAAAAAATAAATTTATCAAAAAAAATTAATTTTTAACAATGATCAAAATCCGTAATTTTTTATAAAAAAAAATTAATTAATTATATAAAAAAAATAATATCCACATATATTATATTACATCTAATTTTTCTATCCAATCAACCTTATTTTAATTGGTTGATTGGCATTTCGCGTAAAAAAAAAATATAAAACGTTCACGTATTTACAAATACGACACTATGCTTCCCTTAAAAATGGCTGCAGAGTTTGAAGATTACTTTCTTTTAGTGACCTTTTCTTTTAGTGACCTTGGCACTTTTAAGAGTGAGATCTCCTACAACTAGTCGATGCTGATTTATACATTTCTCTCCCGGTATCACTTTCACATTTTTTACTATACATCGATCACATCTCCTTAATAACAAGTAATCCACAGCACTTTTGGTACTACCCGACTTATAAGTCACCAGCTTCTCTGATTCTTTCTTAAACATTGTATTACAGACAATCATATCCATAGCATCACTAAATTCTAAAATTCTCTCTCCTTCCAAATATCTCATGACGTAACTGAACCCTCCATGTACTCCTTTGTAACCCTCACTACTCGCTCCCACATGTCCATTCAGATCACCAGCCAGGATAATCCCCTCTTCATTTGCCAGTCTCGATGTCACCCCCAATAGACTGTCCCAAAATATATCTTTCTCTTCTTCACTTCTTCCAACCTGATGAACATATGCCGAGATAATATTATATAGCTTTCTACCAAAAATCATCTTGATAACCATTATCTGGTTGTCTAGCTTTCTCACTTTGACTACTTTGTCTACCAATTTCTCCGCAACCAATACCCCAACTCCAGCCTTACCATCATTACCTCCTTGCCAAAAGAATTTATACTTTTCGCTAATCTTGCCAATCATTCTGGTCCCATTTCCTTTCCATCTAGTCTCCTGTATGCAGCACACATCTATATGTCTTTTGTGCAATACATCGACGACTTCTCCCGCTCTTCCCGTCATACTCCCAACATTCCATGTCGCGACCCTAACTCGATCACCCGTAAACTGGTTTCTTTCATGTCGTTTATGGCCGTCATAAGTTTCATTTTCATGAATAGTGGTTCCACCAGGTTTCCCATCCTTCTTTTTGCCGTAGGCGGATGAGGAGGCCCACGGGGTACTTTGGGCTGTACCCCGCCCATGCTTCGTTGTAACCATAGGGAAACTTTGTAGCAAGGTTTTTAAAATCGGATGCCCTTCCTGACATCAACCTCTTTATGTGGTTTTTACACCCCGTCGAGGATACGGTGATCCTATTCTAGACCCAGATCACAGGGAACCTTTTAGACCTCCATTAGCCGCCAAAAGACGTTGCCACTTCCCCGCCACGATGAGGCTGAAAGTAGGATTTAGGGAGAGAACAAATGCATTGGTTTATTTTTTGTTAATCTTATATAAAATAATCATATTATAGCTCTTACCTGCTTAGAAAATTTATCTAAAATATTTTCTTCAGCATCATTTGAGACCATAACCAACCCAAGTAAATTATAGAATATATTACTAATATGCTATCTTGTTAACCTGGAAATTTTCTTCTTAGAATATATTACTAATATGCTATCTTGTTAACCTGGAAATTTTCTTCTTAGCATCAATTGATATAATCCATTCAGGAACTCCAACTAATCAAGGTAAATTTAAAATATGCTATCTTGTAAACCTAGAAATTTCAATCTTAGCATCACTTGATATAATCCATTCAGGAACTCCAACCAACCAAAGTAAATTTAAAAGGTGCTATCTTGTTAACCTGAAAATTTTTATCTTAGCATCACTTGATATAATCCATTCAGGAACTCCAACCAACCAAAGTGAATTTAAAATATGCTATCTTGTTAACCTGGAAATTTTAATCTTAGCATCACTTGATATAATCCATTCAGGAACTCCAACTAATCAAGGTAAATTTAAAATATGCTATCTTGTTAACCTGGAAATTTTAATCTTAGCATCATTTATAATCCATTCAGGAACTTCAACCAATCAAGGTAAATTTAAAATATGCTACTAGTTTTATCTGGAAATTATCTTTTATAGCCATTGAAGATTATTCAATAAATCAATTAATTTTTTAAAGCAAAATACCCAATATAATTTTATAAAATCTAAATTTAATAAAAATCTATTATTTTCTAATAATTATTTATATTCTCAAAATAGAGAAAACTATTATATGCATACATAGATATTTATTAATTATTATGTTTTTGCTAAAAATTCACGTCACTCTTTATCAATATTATGATCATGTTGTCATTTTCATTTTTTAATGCTTTTTAAACCAAATTTACACCATTATATATAATATTGATATGCAAAAAGTAACTACCATAATTTTATATATTACTATTGAAATACAAATTGCAATCATTATTTTATATGCCGCCTATTGATAAATTGTAATCATCATTTTATATACAATTGATATTCAATTCAATGATAATCATTGATTCAATTGCAATATATACAAATTTTTATACACCACCATCAATATACAGTCTTAATAAATATAATATTATAATAGATACTCAATAAATATAAATTTATATACTATTGATATATAAATTGCAATCATTATTTTATATACCATTATTATACAATTGCAATCAATATTTTATATTTATCAATCACAATAATAATATTTATATATACTATTGATATAATTGCAAAAGTAATAATAAAATTGTTAGGCTTATATTTCATTATTCTTACAACATGCATGCTTATTCATTATAATATTATTTATAAGTAATGTTGTTAAACGGCTCGATTTGAGCCGATTTTTAAAAACGGCTAACTCAATATTTTATCCGAAAAAATATTAGGCAAGCCAGCAGTCCTTGCTCAGTATGGCATAAAGGTTTGGCATCTATTAGCTAAATCTCGAGGCTTAGTCAATATTTTGCTAGCGAAAATTTGAGTTAGCCGTTTTTAAAAACTCGACTCAAATCGAGCCTTTTAACAATATTTTTAAGTAATATCTAAGTAATCAGATATTTATATGAATAAATACGTATGATAAATAGATTTCCTAGTAAGATAAGTGACTAGAAACCTCTAACGAAATAAATCTCATATTTATAGGAATAACAAATATAAATCCCTATGATAAAAATTTTATTAATGGAGTTCCTAGTAGAAAAAGAGATTAACATATTTTCATTAATCATTAGAAATCTAAAAAAAATTAAAATGAGTAAATCTGATATTTATAGGAATAATAAGTATAAATCCCTATGACAAAAATTTAATTAATGGAGTTCCTAGTAGGAAAAGGGATTAACATATTCCTATTAATAATTATAAATCTAAAAAAAGTTATATGAGTAAAACTGATATTTATAGGAATAATAAGTATAAATCTCTACGATAAAAATTTTATTAATGGAGTTCCTAGTAGGAAAAGAGATTAACATAGTCCCATTAATCATTAGAAATCTTAAAAAAAAAAAAAATATGAGTAAATCTGATATTTATAGGAATAATAAGTATAAGTCTCTACGATAAAAATTTTATTAATGTAGTTCATAGTAATATTAACCATATTGTATTATAAATAATATTGAATTATAAATAAATTATATTAAATAGGTAAATAATATTATAAATATGTAAATAATATTATAAATATGTAAATAATATTATAAATATATAATATAAATTATACTATTTTAATTATATATCAATTATGTTAATAATATTAATTATTATATTATAATTAAATCATAATTATAATTATATATTACATTACTAAAATTTATAATTATATATTACTAAAAGTTATAATACAATTTATATATTTTTCTTTATATCAAATTGTTTAATTACTTTAAATATTATACTAATAATATATTATGTTAAATATTACAATTATATACTTATTAAAATTTATATTAATACAATTTATATATTTATCTTTATATCAAATTAATTTAAATACTTTAAATATTATATTAATAATATATTATGTTAAATATATCAATTATATATTTATTAAAATTTATATTAAATATTTGATTAAGGTATTTACTAAAATTTATAATGATATTAAATTAATATTAAATACTTAACTTAGGTGCTCCCGTTGGTGGACACACTGCCATATCATCCTTCCTACAATCTACACTCGAAACCCTTAATGAGTTAGCTGACCTATTTTCCCTTCTCCCCTCTCATAAAGCCTTTTTTCTCCTGAAAAATTTCTTCAATATCCCAAAAATTCTTTACGCGCTCTGCTCTACCCCTATTTTTAAATTTCCCACTTCCTTAGGCATTTATGAAAATGAGATTAAAGTCCTAATTAAAAGTATCCTTAATCTAAAATTCCATGAATTAGCGTGGACACAAGCCACCCTTCCTACCAAGATGGGAGGACTCGGCATCAGATCCCCTTCCGATCTTGCCTTAACTGCCTTTATATCGAGCTGTCTTTTAACCAAAAATTTAGTCAATCCTAATTCCTTAAATTCTGACCCTTCCTTTGATAAAGCCATCATTGAATGAAAATCTCGATTCATTGCCGACCACCCAATTCCAGAAACGAACAAGCAGAAGGACTGCGATAAGCCCATTATTGCGCTGCGTCGAATCTCTCCTTTATAATATGCAATCATTGGACCGTCCCTTATTCTCCTCTCTGCTTAATGGTTCTGGACATGAGTTTCTCGAAGCCATTCCATATGCGAAATTACAATTACAATTGACCCAAAATGAGCTAACTCATGCTATAGGCATCCGTTTAAATTGCTTAGTAACCCAACCCCACATCTGTGCCGACTGCAGTTCTGCTGTTTTGAGTAATGGAAGGCATAGTCTACATTGTCGTTCATGTAAAGGCCGCATCGTTAGACATAACATTTGCAATTCTATAATTCTTAGAGCTCTGAGATCAGCTCAAATTCCTTATATTCTCGAACCCTCTGATCTTTTCAGATCTGATGGGAAACGCCCTGACGGGATCTCTCAAATTCCCTGGAAGCGAGGTCAATTCTTGGTCTGGGATTACTCTTGTATTGATCCATTGGCTCCTTCCAATCAATCCCTTAACATTCTGGAGAACAAGGAGCTTCTAAAAATTGCAAAATATTCAGAGATATCCCAAGATCACTTATTCATTCCCATCATTTCCACTACCTTGACTACCTTTGGGAATCGTGCTCTTTCTTTCTTCAAGGAACTTTAATCGCTAATCCGCAAACTTACAGATGAACCTCGTGAAGGCTTCTTCTTAAGACAAAGACTCGCAATAGCAATTCACAGGGTCAATTACATCAGCTTCATTGGCAGCCTCATCTCACATGATGATTAGAATATATTTTATATAATTTTAACAACGTAATGAATAATTTATTTATATAATAACTTTTCAATGTTCATTTTTATATTATTAAACATTAATATAATTTTACTTATCTATCATATTAAATAAAATTTTATAGTATTAGGAAAAACTATCTAATCTGTAAAAGTTAAATTTTTAATATTTTTTAAATTTCTCGCTTCAAACTTATAAGGGCCATTTTGACAGCCATTTTAGCTTATTTGCCTTTTTGATATTTTTAAGAGTATATAGAGCGGACCCGGTGCAACGTTCTAAATGAATTCCTGTTTTAAATAAATTCCAATTTAGTGATAGTGTCATTTATGACTGACATGTTGATTTCATATTATTTTTTAGTGATATTGACATTTATGACTGACGCGCATATATTAAAAATAATATTTCTAGTGATACTGACATTTATGATTGACGTGTAAAGATCAAATATTATATTTTCTATTGTTATAGATATTTTAGTAAATCCCTGTTTTAAATAAATTCTAATTTAGTGATATTGGCATTTATGACTGACATGTTAAGATCATATATAACATTTTAGTGATATTGACATTTATGACTGACGTTTAAAGATTAAATATAATATTTTTAATAATACTGACATTTATGACTGATATGTAAAGATTAAATATAATATTTTTATTAATACAGACATTTATGACTGACGTGTAAAGATTAAATATAATTTTTAATAGCGGTCAAAATGTTCGCGATAATTTCTTAAATATATATTTAAATAAAATTTTTTAATGTAACTTAATTTTTTAATTGGTGTGTAATATGCCCATTTATAAATGTTATGGATAATTATATTTGT